GGAATCGCAACAGACTGCAAGCAAGTCTATAGTGTTTGTGAAAATCGATGCAAATCTGGCTTTCAAACCTTGTACACCAACTCCTGGGATTTATGGAAAGTTGTCCGTTGTGAAATAAGAACAGTTTAGAGTAAAAGTGAGATATTCAATGAGACACCCTGTACAAAAGATAATTTTCAGTTCACTTTTAGATCTTGTGTATTGCATGAAAGATGTGGATATAACATCAGCCGCTAAATAAAATGATTTGATTGCTTTTTCATATACTGTAAAATGACTAATTTTCACTGGCTTTAAATTTACCATTCAGGCATATTCAGTGGGTTTTAAATTCATGGTTTTATCATTTAGATAATGAGTTCTCTGCTCAATTTTACATATTCACTGGATTTTATTTCAATGCATTTTCCAGTTAGCGAAATAAGCAAAATTAAAACCCACTGAATAATCAACTCTTTTACAGTAGCTCAAAGTATAAATGATAATTTTTGAAAAGAGAAATATTGCGTTTATATACTCTAACTTTATCAAAATTGATCATTGTCAAATTTAAGCGTGGAAATACCACAAAATAATTTTAATGGCCCCAACGCAATGTGCGAACGTCACTATGATGCTATGTTTATCATGTTTTTTCGTTCAATTTCACACATAACATAAGATCTCGCAGTGGACAAAAAATTGTCTATTACACACGCTATGGGAGTAATGCCCCTCAGAGCTTTATAATGCCCCCTGTACAACTACAGATACTCACCCCTCAAGTCCCCTCCCCCTCAATACAAATGACTCTGAATGTTAATTGACAAGCTGAATTAAATATCACTATTTGCCAACTGATAAAAGCCGTCCCACTGACAAAAGGCCACTATCCGTCATCTTTTACAAATCAACTATAATAAACTACAAACACACACATGATTAGTGCCATTACGGTGAGTCATGTGACTGCAACATGTCCATATGTGGTCACTTTTCTTTTAATGGAAACTTTAAACATTAATATAGGCTGATATAGTCCATTGAGGTCTGTTGTAATTCTTTCATATTTTTAATCTTGTAACCAATCAGGCACATGTCGAGGTCACATGACTATAACTGCTAGTGAATAATCCTACTGTAAATAATACATAGTCCTGGGTGCAGTGAGGTGGGTAAGCTGTGAACAATCTGTTGTAGTACTAGGCCAGGTAACCTGTATATCAATTATTGTTCTGTCAAATTTAATTTTAATGATATTAAGACATGATTTCTGGGTAATTTTCAGGACATGTATGCCCAAAGTTAAAAGTTATTCAGTAAACTAAGGAGTCCAACACCTTGTACAGTAAACTAAGGAGTGAAACATCTTGTTCAAAAATCAACAGCGTGCAACAACTTGTTGAACACACTCAGAAGATTTTTTAGTTCCAACAGTTTTTGACAAAGATTGGAGAATGGAGTTTACTATTTAGTTAGCGTAGTGAATACACACAATGGACACATACTTTTTTCATAGCTTATGCATCTCATTCGGTTTCAGCATTGCCAAATTTCATCAGAAACATTCTTTATAATTCCACCCAATAACACCCAAATTTCATCTGAACAGTAACATTGTTCATAATGACCTGCTCCAAAGTTAGCGTTGAACACCCAAATTTCATCAGAATAACAGCGTTTATAATGTCCTGCTTCCTTGTTAATGTTCAAAATCCGAATTTCATCAGAACAGTGTTTATCACTCCCTACTTGCTTGCTCGTTATCGTTGAACACCCAAATTTCATCCGTAAACTTAACAGCGCCTATCAACCACAGCACAATAACACACATTTAAATTGTGCTGCAATATAATGTCTCCAATTACGGTCTCCCATAGAGTTTCCATGACAACAATTCACAGACTTGATTCCTTGGCTTCTTTTGGGAGTAGAGGTTGATTTGATGACGTCACAGATTGTAGCGTCGAGGTAGATACATCACAAGCACGTCTTAACTGAGATATTCTTTCTTCAACACATCCAGCAGATAGTCTGGCTTCTGCATCGTGATCCCAACACTCTTCAATTGTCGAACATAAGGCTTCCAAACCCTATAATAACATGGAAGAGTGAGCAACATGGTAATTTGAAAAGTTTACAATCCAATATGTTTGATTTCTGTCATTACTATAACAATGCACCCCAAGTAAACATGATGACATCATGCACACGAGTGACATGCACATAAGATATGACATGCATACATGTGATGACATGCATAAAAGTGATGACATCATGCACACACATGACATCATGCACACACACGTGCTGACATCATGAACACGCATGTTAAAGCTTGATAGGCATAATTACCGGATTTTTTTGCCAATGTTCCCTGAACTGAGGCCTCATCTTTTTATGAACTACCACATCTTGTATGAGTTCCAGTGTAGGACCTTGTCCAACCTCTTCTTCAAACGGTAACATGTATTCATCCACAGGACCTAAAGTAACAGTTAAAATAATCATTGTTACCAAGGTGATCTAATAAGTCATGTTTATGATCTAAAGGTCACACATCCTGGTACTTTAATTAGTATGAAACTCAAAAATAAATTTATTTTATTGATATCACAGCATAATTTCCAAGATTATTTGTTTTAGATATTTGAGTAAAATGTTTCTATTGGCAACAAAAATACACATTAAAATGACCCAATTTAGTTCGTAGGTATAATGTCATCTGCTAAATTGAAGTTGCTGTCATGGAAACAAAAGTACCAAGATGTGTTACTTTTACGGGTCATGAGAGTGGTTTATACACCAAGTACTCATCCATACACATAGAAGCAATTCGTGTTCACCTGTGTCTTTGGGATCAAGGCAAAAATTGCACATT